CACTCTTTCTGGCCCCGTATACACACTTTCTGGTCCCGTATACACTCTTTCTGGTCCCGTATACACTCTTTCTGGTCCCGTATACACTCTTTCTGGTCCCGTATACACTCTTTCTGGTCCCGTATACACTCTTTCTGGTCCCGTATACACTCTTACTGGTCCCGTATTCACTCTTTCTGGTCCCGTATTCACTCTTTCTGGTCCCGTATGCACTCTTTCTGGTCCCGTATACACTCTTTCTGGTCCCGTATGCACTCTTTCTGGTCCCGTATACACTCTTTCTGGTCCCGTATACACACTTTCTGGTCCCGTATACACTCTTTCTGGTCCCGTATACACTCTGGTCCCGTATTCACTCTTTCTGGTCCCGTATTCACTCTTTCTGGTCCCGTATACACTCTGGTCCCGTATTCACTCTTTCTGGTCCCGTATTCACTCTTTCTGGTCCCGTATACACTCTTACTGGTCCCGTATTCACTCTTTCTGGTCCCGTATGCACTCTTTCTGGTCCCGTATACACTCTTTCTGGTCCCGTATACACACTTTCTGGTCCCGTATACACTCTTTCTGGTCCCGTATACACTCTGGTCCCGTATGCACTCTTTCTGGCCCCGTATACACACTTTCTGGCCCCGTATACACACTTTCTGGTCCCGTATGCACACTTTCTGGTCCCGTATACACACTTTCTGGTCCCGTATACACACTTTCTGGTCCCGTATACACACTTTCTGGTCCCGTATACACTCTTTCTGGTCCCGTGTACACTCTTTCTGGTCCCGTGTACACTCTTTCTGGTCCCGTATACACTCTTTTTGGTCCCGTATACACTCTTTCTGGTCCCGTATACACACTTTCTGGTCCCGTATACACTATTTCTGGTCCCGTATACACTCTTACTGGTCCCGTATACAAACTTTCTGGTCCCGTATACACACTTTCTGGTCCCGTATACACTCTTTCTGGTCCCGTATTCACTCTTTCTGGTCCCGTATACACTCTTACTGGTCCAGTATTCACTCTTTCTGGTCCCGTATACACTCTTTCTGGTCCCGTATACACTCTTTCTGGTCCCGTATACACACTTTCTGGTCCCGTATACACTCTTTCTGGTCCCGTATACACTCTTTCTGGTCCCGTATACACTCTTTCTGGTCCCGTATACACACTTTCTGGTCCCGTATACACTCTTTCTGGTTCCGTATACACACTTTCTGTCCCGTATACACACTTTCTGGTCCCGTATACACTCTTCCAGGTCCCGTATACACACTTTCTGGTCCCGTATACACTCTTTCTGATCCCGTATACACACTTTCTGGTCCCGTTTACACTCTTCCAGGTCCCGTATACACACTTTCTGGTCCCGTATACACTCTTTCTGGTCCCGTATACACTCTTTCTGGTCCCGTATACACTCTTTCTGATCCCGTATACACACTTTCTGGTCCCGTATACACTCTTTCTGGTCCCGTATACACTTTCTGGTCCCGTATACACTCTTTCTGATCCCGTATACACACTTTCTGGTCCCGTATACACACTTTCTGGTCCCGTATACACACTTTCTGGTCCCGTATACACACTTTCTAGTCCCATATACACACTTTCTAGTCCCGTATACACACTTTCTAGTCCCGTATACACACTTTCTAGGCCCGTATACACACTTTCTGGTCCCGTATACACACTTTCTGTTCCCGTATATACTCTTTCTGGTCCCGTATACACACCTTCTAGTCCCGTATACAAACTTTCTGGTCCCGTATACACTCTTTCTGGTCCCGTATACACACTTTCTGGTCCCGTATACACACTTTCAGGTCCCGTAAACTCACTTTCTGGTCCCGTATACACACTTTCTGGTCCCGTATACACTCTTTCTGGTCCCGTATACACACTCTCTGGTCCCGTATACACTCTTTCTGGTCCCGTATACACACTTTCCAGTCCCGTATACACACTTTCTAGTCCCGTATACACACTTTCTAGGCCCGTATACACACTTTCTGGTCCCGTATACACACTTTCTGGTCCCGTATACACTCTCTCTGGTCCCGTATACACACTTTCTAGTCCCGTATACAAACTTTCTGGTCCCGTATACACACTTTCTGGTCCCGTATACAAACTTTCTTGTCCCGTATACACACTTTCTTGTCCCGTATACACACTTTCTGGTCCCGTATACACACTTTCTAGTCCCGTATACAAACTTTCTGGTCCCGTATACACTCTGGTCCCGTATACAAACTTTCTGGTCCCGTATACACACTTTCAAGTCCCGTATACACACTTTCTGGTCCCGTATACTCACTTTCTGGTCCCGTATACACACTTTAAGGTCCCGTATACACACTTTCTGGTCCGTATACACTCTTTCTGGTCCCGTATACACACTTTCTGGTCCCGTATTCACACTTTCTAGTCCCGTATACACACTTTCTAGTCCCGTATACACACTTTCTGGTCCCGTATACACACTTTCTGGTCCCGTATACACACTTTCTGGTCCCGTATACACACTTTCTGGTCCCGTATACACACTTTCTGGTCCGTATACACACTTTCTGGTCCCGTATACACACTTTCTGGTCCCGTATTCACACTTTCTAGTCCCGTATACACACTTTCTAGTCCCGTATACACACTTTCTGGTCCCGTATACACACTTTCTGGTCCCGTATACACACTTTCTGGTCCCGTATACACAATATTATACAACACTATATACCTTCGAGCACAAGTTACCTGACGTTATTGACGTTGTCTCGACGTTATTGACGTTGTCTCGACGTTATTGACGTTGTCTCGACGTTATTGACGTTGTCTCGACGTTACTGACGTTGACTCGACGTTAGTGACGTTGTCTCGACGTTATTGACGTTGTCTCGACGTTATTGACGTTGTCTCGACGTTATTGACGTTGTCTCGACGTTACTGACGTTGACTCGACGTTAGTGACGTTGTCTCGACGTTATTGACGTTGTCTCGACGTTACTGACGTTGTCTCGACGTAACTGACGTTGTCTCGACGTAACTGACGTTGTCTCGACGTAACTGACGTTGTCTCGACGTAACTGACGTTGTCTCGACGTTGCTGACGTTGTCTCGACGTTGCTGACGTTGTCTCGACGTTACTGACGTTGTCTCGACGTTACTGACGTTGACTTTAATTAACATAATGTACACGACTGCTGACTCTTGTTAGCTGGCTGAGAGCTTTCCCTTCCCATAGTTCATGGTAAGCCTTACCCTACTAGTTTTACACAGGAGGGTACAGGAGCAGACGACTGCTGACTCCTGTTAGCTGGCTGAGAGCTTTCCCTTCCCATAGTTCATGGTAAGCCTTACCCTACTAGTTTTACACAGGAGGGTACAGGAGCAGACGACTGCTGACTCCTGTTAGCAGGCTGAGAGCTTTCCCTTCCCATAGTTCATGGTAAGCCTTACCCTACTAGTTTTACACAGGAGGGTACAGGAGCAGACGACTGCTGACTCCTGTTAGCTGGCTGAGAGCTTTCCCTTCCCATAGTTCATGGTAAGCCTTACCCTACTAGTTTTACACAGGAGGGTACAGGAGCAGACGACTGCTGACTCCTGTTAGCTGGCTGAGAGCTTTCCCTTCCCATAGTTCATGGTAAGCCTTACCCTACTAGTTTTACACAGGAGGGTACAGGAGCAGACGACTGCTGACTCCTGTTAGCAGGCTGAGAGCTTTCCCTTCCCAAAGTTCATGGTAAGCCTTACCCTACTAGTTTTACACAGGAGGGTACAGGAGCAGACGACTGCTGACTCCTGTTAGCAGGCTGAGAGCTTTCCCTTCCCATAGTTCATGGTAAGCCTTACCCTACTAGTTTTACACAGGAGGGTACAGGAGCAGACGACTGCTGACTCCTGTTAGCAGGCTGAGAGCTTTCCCTTCCCAAAGTTCATGGTAAGCCTTACCCTACTAGTTTTACACAGGAGGGTACAGGAGCAGACGACTGCTGACTCCTGTTAGCTGGCTGAGAGCTTTCCCTTCCCATAGTTCATGGTAAGTCTTACCCTACTAGTTTTACACAGGAGGGTACAGGAGCAGACGACTGCTGACTCCTGTTAGCTGGCTGAGAGCTTTCCCTTCCCATAGTTCATGGTAAGTCTTACCCTACTAGTTTTACACAGGAGGGTACAGGAGCAGACGACTGCTGACTCCTGTTAGCTGGCTGAGAGCTTTCCCTTCCCATAGTTCATGGTAAGCCTTACCCTACTAGTTTTACCCTGGATCACGACCAACAAATCGGTTTACAACCAAATGTGGCCAACAGCATATGGGTAACACGCAGACTTTTGCTCACACTCTAAGTTCCAAGTTAGACTCAAGCAGTTTAAGTTCCTAGTTAGACTTAAACATTCTAAGTTCCTAGTTAGACATAAGCAGTTTAAGTTCCCAGGCAATATGATAAGTCGTCCTGGAAAGAATGAACATCTGTGACCAAGCCATAAGGCAGACACCTGCAGGAGATACTAATGATTAAGCCTTTACGTGTCCACTTACGAAGCCTGTACATCTTTCCTCAAACTTGGCGGCTTTGTTAACATTTATTACACAATTTATTAGCTCCGAAGCACTACGAAGTTGTTTATAATTTATAACTGTTTATAAATTATAATGTTATAAATTATAACTGTTTATAATTACAACAATTTCCACGTTGTAAACTGTCATTTACAACAATTTCCACGTTGTAAAACTGTCATTTACAACAATTTCCACGTTGTAAACTGTCATTTACAACAATTTTTAAGTTGCAAACTGTCTAATAAATGTAAACAAAGTCCCCCATGACGGAGGATAGACGCTCAGCTTTCATAAGAGAAAACGTAAATGCTGGCTGAATCCTGGCTTCAGTTAAGGGGAAACTAACCAAGTCCAAGTTCAAGTACGCTTACTGAGAAAAAGGAAGTACATCTCAAAAGAAAAGAGTAGCTTATAGGTTATTTCTACCCCTCGAACTCACCAGATAGGTGACGGCGGAGAGGACCTGCGTGAAGACCTTAGCGGAGTCGTTCTCCGGCAGGCGGCCGTCGGCCGTCACGCGGTTGAAGAGTTCTCCGCCGGGCGCGAACTCCAGCACCAGGTGGATCCTGGAGAGCGTCTCCACCACTTCGAACAGTCTGTGGGAGGACGGATGGCACCGCGATCTGTACTCCTTCCTCCTCACACGCCTCTCACTATCACTATATAGCAGCTGGGATACCAGGACGAGCAGCTGGGATATGAGGACATGGAGCCGGGATATGAGGACAAGGAGCTGGGATATGAGGACATGGAGCCGGGATATGGGGACGAGGAGCTGGGATATGAGGACATGGAGCCGGGATATGAGGACATGGAGCCGGGATATGAGGACAAGGACCTGGGATATGAGGACAAGGAGCTGTAATATAACGGAAAGGAGCTGGGATACGAGGTCAAGGAGCTGGGATATGAGGACGAGGAACTGGGATGAGGACAAGGAGCTAGGATATAAAGACAAGTAGCTGGAATATGAGGACAAGAACCTGGGATATGAGGACGAGGAGCTGGGATATGAGGACTATATAGGGAGCTAGAATATGAGGACAAGCAACTGGGACATGAGGACAAGAAGCTGGGATATAATTTATTTAGTTATTTATTTATTTATTTATATACAAGAAGGTACATTGGGAGGCAAAACTGACAATGTTTACAGGTACATTGTAAAAAAATTTGACACAATACACAAAAATCAGATTAATACACAATAATGACAAAGATTAGTAGGTACATTAAGGTAAAATTTTAGGGTTATCAACTGGTTCATTGTAGCACAATTTGAGGATGATTTCAAGGAATAATGCAGTAAAATATGCACTCAATATAACAGCCATGATATCAGATGATATCAATGATTACAATGGTAAAGTTGTATGGCTGAGATACATATATTGGGAGATTAGATAGCACTACATACAGTGCGAGTTTAAAGCACAAGGTAGGAAATTATGAAGATGAAATTAGGTACTCTTTGGTTTTGTTTTTGAATAAGGCAAAAGTTGGACAGCTTTTCAATTCGTTAAGGAGTGAGTTCCATAGACTGGGTCCCTTTATTTGCAAAGATTGTTTACACAGATTAAGTCTGATTCTGGAGATATCAAAGAAATATTTATTTCTGATAATACACAAGTATTATATTTACTGGTGGGTGAGAATAGTGATTGGTTTCCTGACTTGTGAATGACCCTTATTTATACGTATATTGTAGCAACCTCTCCCCCCCTGTCTCCACTACCTGTGTTCCCTCTCGATCCCTCTCCCTATCCCATCTCCTCTCTTTCCCTGTGTCCCCTCTCTCCCTGTACCCACTCTCCTTGTTCCTGCTAGCTCCCAGTGTCCTCACCCTCTCCATGTATCCCCTCTCCCTGTGTGTCCTCTCTTTCTATCTTTTATCTCTCTCAGTCTCTGCTCTTCCTCATTCTCTCTCTCTCTCTCTGCCTATATATTCGTTCGTGTCTCGACTCTCCTTCATATTACGTGTCTCCCTCCCAGGTCTCCGTCCTCGCCCGCCTGCTCACCTGATAATGTTGGGGTGGGCGACGGCGTCCATGTTGGAGATCTCCCGCGCTAACATCCGCTGCGTCTTCTGGTCCAATTTAGATTTGTCGATGACCTTCACGGCGACCTTGTCTGAGGGGAGATAGAGACACCTCCGTCACGCGACACGCAAACTTCTATTACATTCTCAGCATTTTATAGTAAAGTATCGATAATTACATGTTGGTGGCATGTGGCCTCCCAGGAGCCCCAGGAGGAGCCCCAGGAGGAGCCCAGGAGGAGCATAGAAGGAGCCCCAGGAGCCCCAGGAGGACCCCAAGGTGGAGCCCACGAGGATCCCAGGAGGAGCCCCAGGAGGAGCCCCAGGAGGAGCCCCAGGAGGAGCCCCAGGAGGAGCCCAGGAGGAGCCCCAGGAGGAGCCCCAGGAGGAGCCCAGGAGGAGCACAGGAGGAGCATAGAAGGAGCCCCAGGAGCCCCAGGAGGGCCCCCAGGTGGAGCCCAAGAGGATCCCAGGAGGAGCCCCAGGAGGAGCCCCAGGAGGAGCCCCAGGAGGAGCCCAGGAGGAGCCCCAGGAGGAGCCCCAGAAGGAGCCCCAGGAGGAGCCCCAGGAGGAGCCCAGGAGGAGCCCCAGGAGGAGCCCCAGGAGGAGCCCAGGAGGAGCCCCAGGAGGAGCCCAGGAGGAGCCCCAGGAGGAGCACAGAAGGAGCCCCGGGAGCCCCAGGAGGACCCCCAGGTGGAGCCCAAGAGGATCCCAGGAGGAGCCCAGGAGGATCCCCAGGAGGAGCCCCAGGAGGAGCCAGGAGGAGCCCCAGGAGGAGCCCCAGGAGGAGCCCAGGAGGAGCCCCAGGAGGCGCCCCAGGAGGAGCCCCAGGAGGAGCCCAGGAGGAGCCCCAGGAGGAGTCCAGGAGGAGCCCCAGGAGGAGCCCCAGGAGGAGCCCAGGAGGAGCCCCAGGAGGAGCCCCAGGAGGAGCCCCAGGAGGAGCCCCAGGAGGAGCCCAGGAGGAGCCCCAGGAGGAGCCCCAGGAGGAGCCCCAGGAGGAGCCCCAGGAGGAGCCCAGGAGGAGCCCCAGGAGGAGCCCCAGGAGGAGCCCCAGGAGTCACAGGGTGGAGCCCAGGAAGACAGGTAGCCAGGAGTACAAGTCTGTTTTACCTCTTCACTGAAGACAAGTGACTGTCCAGAGAACCTTCAACAGAGGCCTCCCAGAACACCACTTGGTACTGGTGAACGTGACCACCACCACCACTTGGTACTGGTGAACGTGACCACCACCACCACTTGGTACTGGGGAAAGTGACCACCACCACCACTTGGTACTGGTGAACGTGACCACCACCACCACTTGGTACTGGGGAACGTGACCACCACCACCACTTGGTACTGGTGAACGTGACCACCACCACCACTTGGTACTGGGGAACGTGACTACCAACACCACTTGGTACTGGGGAAAGTGACCACCACCACCACTTGGTACTGGTGAACGTGACCACCAACACCACTTGGTACTGGTGAACGTGACCACCAACACCACTTGGTACTGGTGAACGTGTCCACCACCACCACTTGGTACTGGTGAACGTGACCACCAACACCACTTGGTACTGGTGAACGTGACCACCAACACCACTTGGTACTGGTGAACGTGTCCACCACCACCACTTGGTACTGGTGAACGTGACCACCACCACCACTTGGTACTGGTGAACGTGACCACCACCACCACTTGGTACTGGTGAACGTGACCACCACCACCACTTGGTACTGGTGAACGTGTCCACCACCACCACTTGGTACTGGTGAACGTGACCACCACCACCACTTGGTACTGGGGAACGTGACCACCACCACCACTTGGTACTGGTGAACGTGACCACCACCACCACTTGGTACTGGTGAACGTGTCCACCACCACCACTTGGTACTGGTGAACGTGACCACCACCACCACTTGGTACTGGGGAACGTGACCACCACCACCACTTGGTACTGGTGAACGTGACCACCACCACCACTTGGTACTGGGGAACGTGACCACCACCACCACTTGGTACTGGTGAACGTGACCACCAACACCACTTGGTACCAGTGAACGTGTACAGCAAGGTATTGGGGGTGCTATATTAAGCTGGATTAGGGCATGGCTATACCAAAGGAAACAGAGAGTATAAATGGAGTCAAGTTAGAGTGGGATAATGTTGTAAGTGGAGTGCCTCAAGGCTCTGTCCTGGGACCTCTGTTGTTTATAATATATATAAATGATTTAGATTCAGGTTTGAGCAGCAACATTTGCAAATTTGCCGATGATACAAAAATCAGAAGGGAAATTAACACGGAAGAAGACTCACTATCACTTCAAGTCGATCAAAATAGGGTTTTGAAATGGTCAAAAGATTGGCAGATGCAGTTTAATGCTGATAAATGTAAAGTTTTGAGGCTAGGTAATGATGATAGAGTTACAAGATAGGAATGGGAATTCCTATCTTGTAATTCTACAAGATAGAAATTCACTAGTAGTGATAGTGAATTAGGAATGGGTCCACTATCACCCACATGATAAGTATGGGTTCACTATCCCCCAAAGGATAGGTATGGGTTCACTACCACCCACAGGATGGGTATGGGGTCCACTACCACCCACAGGATGGGTATGGGGTCCACTACCACCCACAGGATGGGTATGAGGTCCACTACCACCCACAGGATACCAAGCCTGGCCTCGGGCCGGGCTTGGGGAGTAGAAGAACTCCCAGAACCCCATCAACCAGGATGGGTATGGGGTCCACTACCACCCACAGGATGGGTATGGGGTCCACTACCACCCACAGGATGGGTATGGGGTCCACTACCACCCACAGGATGGGTATGGGGTCCACTACCACCCACAGGATGGGTATGGGGTCCACTACCACCCACAGGATGGGTATGGGGTCCACTACCACCCACAGGATGGGTATGGGGTTCACTACCACCCACAGGATGGGTATGGGGTCCACTACCACCCACAGGATGAGTATGGGGTCCAATACCACCCACAGGATGAGTATGGGGTCCACTACCACCCACAGGATGGGTATGGGGTCCACTACCACCCACAGGATGGGTAGGGGGTCTACTACCACCCACAGGATGGGTATGGGGTCCACTACCACCCACAGGACGGGTATGGGGTCCACTACCACCCACAGGATGGGTAAGGGGTCCACTACCACCCACAGGATGGGTATGGGGTCCACTACCACCCACAGGATGGGTAGGGGGTTCTCTACCACCCACAGGATGGGTATGGGGTCCACTACCACCCACAGGATGGGTATGGGGTCCACTACCACCCACAGGATGAGTATGGAGTCCACTACCACCCACAGGATGGGTATGGGTCCACTACCACCCACAGGATGGGAATGGGTCCACTACCACCCACAGGATGGGTATGGGGTCCACTACCACTCACAGGATGGGTATGGGATCCTCTACCACCCACAGGATGGGTATGGGGTCCACTACCACCCACAGGATGGGTATCGGGTCCACTACCACCCACAGGATGGGTATGGGGTCCACTACCACCCACAGGATGGGTATGGGGTCCACTACCACCCACAGGATGGGTATGGGGTCCACTACCACCCACAGGATGGGTAAGGGGTCCACTACCACCCACAGGATGGGGGTATGGGGTCCACTACCACCCACAGGATGAGTAAGGGGTCCACTGCCACCCACAGGATGGGTACGGGGTCCACTACCACCCACAGGATGGGTATGGGTGTCCACTACCACCCACAGGATGAGTAAGGGGTCCACTACCACCCACAGGATGGGTATGGGGTCCACTACCACCGACAGGATGAGTAAGGGGTCCACTACCACCCACAGGATGGGTATGGGGTCCACTACCACCCACAGGATGAGTAAGGGGTCCACTACCACCCACAGGATGGGTATGGGGTCCACTACCACCCACAGGATGGGTATGGGGTCCACTACCACCCACAGGATGGGTATGGGGTCCACTACCACCCACAGGATGGGTATGGGGTCCACTACCACCCACAGGATTGGTAAGGGGGTCTACTACCACCCACAGGATGGGTATGGGGTCCACTACCACCCACAGGATGGGTATGGGGTCCACTATCACCCACAGGATGGGTATGGGGTCCACTACCACCCACAGGATGGGTATGGGGTCCACTACCACCCACAGGATGGGTATGGGGTCCACTACCACCCACAGGATGGGTATGGGGTCCACTACCACCCACAGGATGGATATGGGGTCCACTACCACCCACAGGATGGGGATGGGGTCCACTACCACCCACAGGATGGGTATGGGGTCCACTACCACCCACAGGATGGGTAGGGGGTCTACTACCACCCACAGGATGGGTATGGGGTCCACTACCACCCACAGGATGGGTATGGGGTCCACTACCACCCACAGGATGGGTATGGGGTCCACTACCACCCACAGGATGGGTATGGGGTCCACTACCACCCACAGGATGGGTATGGGGTCCACTACCACCCACAGGATGGGTATGGGGTCCACTACCACCCACAGGATGGCTATGGGGTCCACTACCACCCACAGGATGGGTATGGGGTCCACTACCACCCACAGGATGGGTAGGGGGTCTACTACCACCCACAGGATGGCTATGGGGTCCACTACCACCCACAGGATGGCTATGGGGTCCACTACCACCCACAGGATGGGTATGGGGTCCACTACCACCCACAGGATGGCTATGGGGTCCACTACCACCCACAGGATGGGTATGGGGTCCACTACCACCCACAGGATGGGTAGGGGGTCTACTACCACCCACAGGATGGGTATGGGGTTCACTACCACCCACAGGATGGCTATGGGGTCCACTACCACCCACAGGATGGGTATGGGGTCCACTACCACCCACAGGATGGGTAGGGGGTCCACTACCACCCACAGGATGGGTAGGGGGTCTACTAACACCCACAGGATGGGTATGGGGTCCACTACCACCCACAGGATGGGTATGGGGTCCACTACCACCCACAGGATGGGTAGGGGGTCTACTACCACCCACAGGATGGGTATGGGGTCCACTACCACCCACAGGATGGCTATGGGGTCCACTACCACC